GGAGGCACCTCTCACCAAGCCTGAGGCTTCCAGAGCCTTGTCCCAAGGTACCGGCAGGGCTGCCTTGTCACTCACCCTTCCCACCACTGCTCCTCAACTTGCTTTCTTAGTTAAGGGGGCCAATGCCAAGGCATTGGCTAACAGCAAAAATGAACCCTTGTTCCAAGGAATGGATAAATGAGCAAAATTACCCACACTCAGCTGGGTGCAGTGGCTCATGCCTGTAATCCCAGCACTCTGGGAGGCTGAGGCGGGCAGATCACCTGAGGTCAGGAGTTCGAGACCAACCTGGCCAATGTGGTCAAATGCCATCTCTACTAAAAATACAAAAATTAGTCAGGCGAGGTGGTGGGCACCTGTAATCCCAGCTACTGAAGAGGCTGAGGTAGAAGAATCACTTGAACTCAGGAGGTGGAGGTTGCAGTGAGCCGAGATCACACCACTGCACTCCAGCCTGGGCAACAGAGTAAGACTCTGTCTCAAAAAAGAAAAAAATTACCCACAGTGCAGAGCCCTCGGCACACTTCCTCTTCATACCTGTAAGATTCTGAGGGAGCCAATGCCAAGGCATTGGCTAACAGCAAAGATGAACCCTTGTTCCAAGGAATGGATAAATGAGCAAAATTACCCACACTCAGCCAGGTGCAGTGGCTCACGCCTGTAATCCCACCACTTTGGGAGGCCGAGGCAGGTGGATCATGAGGTCAAGAGATCGAGACTATCCTGGTCAACATGGTGAAACCCCATCTCTACTAAAAATACAAAAAATTAGCTGGGCATGGTGGTGCGTGCCTGTAATCCCAGCTACTCAGGAGGCTGAGGCAGGAGAATTGCCTGAACCCAGGAGGCAGAGGTTGTAGTGAGCCGAGATCGTGCCATTGCACTCCAGCCTAGGTAACAAGAGGGAAACTCCATCTCAAAAAAAAAAAGATTCTGAGGGAAATAAGATCTAAGATGGCCTCTCCTGGCAGGGTGCAGGGGCTCACACCTGTCAACCCAGCACTCGGGGAGGCTGAGGCAGGTGGATCACGAGGTCAGGAGTTTGAGACCAGCCTGACCAACATGGTGAAATCTCGTCTCTACTACAAATACAAAAAAATTAGCTGGGTGTGGTGGTGTGCGCCTGTAGTCCCAGCTACTCGGGAGGCTGAGGCAGGAGAATCGCTTGAACCCAGGAGGCAAAGTTGTAGTAAGCCGAGATCGCACTACTGCACTCCAGCCTGGGCAACAGACTGAGACTACCTCTCAAAATAAATAAATAAAAACAATAAAAATCAAAGAGGGCCTCTCCTGAGGACTTATGCTCTTCACAGGGTCCAGCTGGAAAAGCACATGGGATCCTAAGAGCAACAGGTGGACAGGAGATTAGCATTCTGGGGAAGTGTGTCCCTCTATCCCAATGGCCCTGACGCCCCCAGTTTTGATGACCTAGCTGTGGCCAGAGGAAGAGGCCTACACCAATACCAGGTGCTGCAGGGACTTGGGCCTCTGGACACTAAACCCATTCTAATAAGCTGCGTTCTTTTTTGTTGTTGTTCTTTTTTTTTTTTTTTTTTGAGTTGGAGTTTTGCTCTTGTTACCCAGGCTGGAGTGCAATGGCACGATCTCGGCTCACCACAACCTCCGCCTCCTGGGTTCAGACAATTCTTCTGCCTCAGCCTCCTGAGGAGCTGGGATTACAGGCACACGTCACCATGCCCAGCTAATTTTTGTATTTTAGTAGAGACAGGGTTTCACCATGTTGACCAGGATGGTCTCGATCTCTTGACCTCGTGATCCACCCGCCTCAGCCCCCCAAAGTGCTGGGATTACAGGCTTGAGCCACCACGCCCGGCCTGTTGTTCTTTTTTAATGGCACAATCTTGGCTCACTGCAACCTCCACCTCCCAGTTTCAAGTGATTCTCCTGCCTCAGCCTCCTGAGAAGCTGGGTTACAGGCACCTGCCACCACACCCAGCTAATTTTTGCATTTTTTAGTAGAGATGGGGTTTCACCGTGTTGGCCAGACTGGTCTCAAACTCCTGACCTCAGGTGATACGCCCACTCGGCCCCCCAAAGTGCTAGGATTACAGGCATGAGCCACCACGCCCAGCTCAATGAATATTTATGTATATATATGCACCTGTGTGTTCTAGTACTGTGGCTGATATAACAAACTATCCCCCTGGCTGGGTGCGGTGGCTCACGCCCGTAATCCCAGCACTTTGGGAGGCTGAGGTGGGTGGATCACAAGGTCAGGAGATCGAGACCATCCTGGCCAATATGGCCAATAGAAACCCTGTCTCTGTTAAAAATAATAATAAAAAAAATTAAGTGGGCATGGTGGCATGTGTCTGTAGTCCCAGCTACTGGGAGGCTGAGGCAGGAGAATTGCTTGAACCCAGGAGGCAGAGGTTGTGGTGAGCTGAGATCTCGCCACTGCACTCCAGTCTGGGCAACAGAGGGAGACCCTGTCTCAAAAAAAATAAAGAATAAAAATAACAAAGTACACCAAACTTGGTGCCTTAGAGCAACATAAATGTATTCTCTTATATATTTTCTCTCCTAAGTATCACAGGACTGAAATGCAAGTGTCAGAGGGTCATGCTCCCTTGAGGCTCTCTGGGAGAACCCCTTCCTTGCCTCTTCTAGCTGCTGGCTGCTAGCATTCCTTGGCTTGTGGCTGCTTCACTCCAATCTCGCTCCATCTTCACAGCTTCACACACCTTCTCCCCTTCTGTCTTCTCAAATCTCCCTCTGTCTCTCTCTTGTGGGGCACTGGTGATTGCATTTAGATTCCCCTGGGTGATCCAGGATAAGCTCTCCATCTCAATGTCCCTAACTTAATGCATTGACAAAGACCCTTTTCCCACACAGGACAACATTTGCAGACACCAGAGCAGCAGTCCCAGCCTTTTTGGCACTAGTCCCTGTTTTGCAGAGGACATATTTTGTTTGGGGAAGACATATATTTCCTTGGATGGGTGATGGATGGTGGGGGAGGGTTTCAGGATGATTCAAGTGCATTACATTTCTTGTGTACTTTAATTCTATTATTATGGCATTGTAATATTTAACGAAATAATTATACAACTCACTATCATGTAGAAACTGTGGGAGCCCTGAGCTTGTTTTCATCCATCTAGATGGTTGCATCTGGGGGTGATGGGAGACAGTGACAGATCATCAGGCATTAGATTCTCATAAGAGTAAGCAGCCTAGATTCCTTGCTTGCACAGTTCACAAGAGGGTTTACACTACTGTGAGAATCTAATGGCCCCACTGACCTGACAGGAGACAGAACTCAGGCATAAAAGTTATTGATGGTAGCATTAGGAGGAGCAGGAGGGGTGGGAGTGGGTGAGGCTAGCTCCTTGCCGGTAGTGTCCTGTCTTAGGAAAAGGGAAACTGAGGGCTAGAGTAGAAGCAGATAGGGTTGGTTGAGTGCCCTAGCCTGCCTTAGGTGGCTGCCACAGGGAACCTGGGCCTCGCCTAGACCTCACCTGGATCAAAGGTATCTCCATCATTGCAATAGATCCTCTGATGCCAGGCTGAGGGCAAGGTGGGCTGGGACTCCTGTGAAGAGGGGGTAGGGGACTAAACCTTCCTCCCCACCCTGCCCACCTTCCTTCCTGTACCACAAAGGCATCACCATCCAACCTAGTGCAGGGATCAGGGAAAGCGGAAAAAGGAAGGAAGGGAGCTGTGAGCCCCACGTGGTAACAGGGATACCAGTTGGTTGAGGACATCCTGGGGGCCAAGCATTCCCCTCTGCTAGCTACACCTGCTGCTGCCAGCATGGGAGAGGGACCTGTCAAATGGGATGGGGCTTGGGCTCCCTTCAAGACCAGGAGTCTTCCCAGTCACTCTATGGGGAACCAGAGGAAAGAGTTGGGGAGCAAAGAAGGGACTCCCAAACCAAGAGCCCACTGCCATGCCCTGACTCCAGGACAGTGGGTAGACAGCAGACACCAGATGTGGCTAAGTAGACCATTAGCCTGGCACAGGAGGCCAAGTGTATGTGTGATAACTGAAGCCAAAAGAACACTTCCTCTCAACCACTGGTCCTGCAGCGGCTGGTGTGCTCCTCCCGAGAGATGGAGAAGACGCAGGCAGAGGCACTGGAAGGATGTGGGTGATGCATGCTGCCCATGTCTTTTCTTTTTTTGAGATGAAGTTTTACTCTTGTCACCCAGGCTGGAGTGCAGTGGCTTGATCTTGGCTCACTGCAACCTCCATTTCCCAGGTTCAAGTGATTCTCCTGCCCCAGCCTCCCAAGTAGCTGGGATTACAGGTGCCCACCACCATGCCCAGGTAATTTTTGTATTTTTAGTAGAGATGGGGTTTCACCATCTTGGCCAGGCTGGTCTTGAACTCCTGACCTCAGGTGATCCGCCCACCTCGGCCTTCCAAAGTGCTGGGATCACAGGTGTGAGCCACCTGCCAAGCCAGAACTACACTTTTAGAGAGAGCCACTCACAAAAGGAAACTGGGAAAAAAAAAAAAAAAAAAAAAAAAAAACTAAAGTTTTCAATAAAGAAACTAGACGGTGGGGGTGGGGAGGCATATCCATAGCCTTATCATTTTTTTTTTAATCTTTCTGAAAGATTCCCCACCGTTCCTTTAACAGTTTCACGGCACTCCTGAAACCCTGTTGGCCTAAGGCCGAGCACAGTGGCTCACACCTGTAATCTCAGCACTTTGGGAGGCGGAGGTGGGTGGATCACTTGAGGTCAGGAGTTCGAGGCCAGCCTGGCCAACAAGGTCTCTATTACAAATACAAAAATTAGCTGGGCATGGTGGCGGGCGCCTGTAATCCCAGCTACTCAGGAGGCTGAGGCACAAGAATCGCTTGAACCTGGGAGGCTGAGATTGCAGTGAGCCAAGATTACGCCACTGCACTGCAGCCTGGGTGACAGAGCAAGACTCAAAAAAACAAAAAACACACAAAAAACCTGCTGGCCTAAAGGACACCCCACCCTGCCCACCCCTTGCCTCACATGGCATGTAAAAAGGGGAAGAAAAACTCAGAAACTGAAGCATTCGGCAGTCTCTTCCAACGCAGATCAAAACAGAGGTAAAAGACCCTCAACCAGATGAGATTTGATTTACATAAGTCTCATCCTGCCCAACGTCCTACCCACCCCGGACTCCCCACACACACAGGTGTCCCAAGCCCCTCCTCTCCAGCTTACCCCAAACCCATCTTGAGGGCCTGGGCTCCCAGCTCCCTCCCTCAGAGGATCTGTTGTCTTTCAGACGCTCGCTGAGAGCAGAGACTGGTTGACACTTCTCTCACTGACACTGGAATACAGTCAGGCAGGTGGTGTCAGGAACTGTAAACCATGCATGTTTGCACCCAATGGGGGCCAGCAGGCAGAGCTGGAATCGGCCACTGGAACCGAGGCCAGACCCACGCTCAGAGCCGGTGGTCCGAGACCCTCATCTAGAAGCTCCTGGAAGCTCCGGCAGGCCCAGAAGGGTCTGCCCAGCACCCACCCACCCCCGCAAGTCCGGGCGGGAGCACAGGAAACCTCCCAGCATCTGCCGAGAAACCCTACAGGCCTCGTTCTCTCTCCCATGTGCCTTCTTTGTTTGTTTCTGTTTTGTTGCTGTTGTTTTTGAGATGGAGTCTCGCTCTTGCTGCCCAGGCTGGAGTATAGTGGCACGATCTCAGTTCCCTGCAACCTTCACCTCCCGGATTGCAGCGATTCTCCTGCCTCAGCCTCCCGAGTAACTGGGATTACAGGGAGCGTCACCACACCCAACTAATTTTTTGTATTTTCAGTAGAGATGAGTTTTCACCAGGTTGGCCAGGCTGGTCTCTAACTCCTGACCTCAGGTGAGCCAACTGCCTTGGTCTCTGAGTGCTGGGATTACAGGCGTGAGCCACCGATGCCCCACTTCCATCTGCCTTCTTTGTCATTCTAATTAACTGCTGGAGATACCTTTTGTTAACCATTATGCATAAAAGAAAGTTATGCATGACGGATGCTGAGATTGTTATTACCAAGAGGCACTTGGTTTCAAAATCACTTCGAATATTCTAGCACTGAATCTCATCCTTCCTGTGCCTGGGGGTCTGCATGCTATTTGTCTTGTTCCTCCTGTGTGAACGGCAGGGTGAAGGCCTTCCTGCTCAAAAAGTGGGTGCTTTGCCAAGCTACCTGGGGTGTGCATCTATGCACTTGAACTTTGGAGTCAGACTGGCAAAGGCTGGATGTTCTCCTGCGCCTTGGTTACCGTTTGCCCTCATGCAGGTCGCTTGGCTTCTTGGAGTCTCCGTTTTCTCATTTGTGAAAGATAAGTGAACACCCTCATTCGAGAGCTGCCATGTGACCATCTGTGAGATGATGGAGGGAGAGTCCGCAGTGCCCTTTAGAGTGGCAGTTGTGCTGGTGCTCCACAGGACCAGGACCAGGTGGCAGTGGCTGTCTGGAACCGTGATGGAGGAACTGGCAAGGCTGCCAGATTCCACAAATAAAAATACATACACACAGTTACATCTGAATTTCAAATAAGCAGCTAAATTTTTTTGTATAATTATATCCCATGCAGTATTTGGACTATACTTACACTGAAAAATCGGCCGGGTGTGATGGTTCACGCCTATAATCCCAGCACTTTGGGAGCCCAAGGCAGGCAGATCACCTGAGGCAGAGGTTGCAGTAAACCAATATCACGCCACTGCACTCTAGCCCGAGCAACAGAGTGAGACTCTGTCTCTAATAATAATAATAATAAGCCGGGCACAGTGGCTCACACCTATAATCCCAGCACTTTGGGAAGCTGAGATGAGTGGATCACCTGAGGTCAGGAGAGACCAGCCTGACCAATATGATGAAACCCTGTCTCTAGGCAAAATACAAAAATTAGCTGGGCATGGTGGCGTGCATCTGTGATCCCAGCTACTCGGGAGGCTGAGAAAGGAGAATCACTTGAACCTGGGAGGCAGAGGTTGCAGTGAGCTGAGATTGTGGCATTGCACTCCAGCCTGGACAACAAGAGTGAAACTCCATCTCAAATAATAATTAATAATAATAATTTATTATCTGAAATTCAAATTTAACTGTGTCCCTTTTTTTTTCTTTTGAGACAGTGTCTCACCCTGTGGCCCAGGCTGGAGTACAGTGGCATAATCATGGTTCACTGAAGGCTCAACCTCCTGGGATCAAGTGATCCATACACCTCAGCCTCCCAAGAAGATAGGACTGCAAGTACAAGCTACCATGCCTGGCTAATTTTTTTTTTTTTTTGTAGAGATGGGTTTTGCCATGTTGCCCAGGCTGGTAACTGAGTATTCTGTATTTTATCTGGCAATCCTAAGAAAAGAGGTTAAAATGATTAGAATGGGAGTTCTTGCTGCCCCTTTGAGAAGTCTTCATTTGGGATTGGGCAAGAGCCACTGGAAGAAATGTAGGCCAGGGAGGCTGAGGCATAAGAATGGCTTGAACCTGGGAGATGAAGGTTGCAGTGAGCCAAGATTATGCTGCTGCACTCCAGCCTGGGTGACAGAGTGAGACTCTGCCTCAAAAAAAAAAAAAATAAAGAAAAAGAAAAAGGAAACATGAGCCAAAGGAGGAGAAGAATCTAGAACACCAAGGCACAGATCTAGAACACCTCCTGGCCTGGTTCCCTATCTGCTGATCGTAGTAGGCCAAGCAGCAAACACACTCTGAAAGCCTGGATGAGGGCTGGGCTCCACTGGCCCCAGTCTCCAGCCTCCAGCCTCCATAGCACGCCCTCCATCTGTCAGTACCCACTTCCCAACCCACCCATCCCTGAGCCAAAAGACAGCAGCAGAAGGAGCACCACCAAGTGGGACACCTGTGTTCATTAGCCTCCAAGGAACCAGACTGCGGAAAGCCGGGAGAGGACACACCCCAGAGGTGGTTTAACCTGCTGTGGCCGGACTGGCCACATTCACATCCCAGGGTTGGGCATGTGACTACTCCATTCCTTTAGCCTCTGGGAGGACATTCATCCAACAAACATTTCTTCACGTCCTTGGTCCATCCCACAGACAACCTCCAACTCACCCACCATCCCCCTGAAATTACCCCCCTCTCCCTGGGGTTGCCTGTCTGCTTCTCCCCCTCTTCTTCCTCAGCCCATCAGCCCCAGTGGGGCCATCTCTGAGATCTCTGGGTCCCTCCCGCTGCTCAGCTTGCTCATTCTCACTCTCCAGACCTGCTGCAGCCTCCTCCCCGATCCCTCCCCATTCCAGCCCAGTTCCAATAAAATCAGGTCTCATCCTGCCATTGCCCTGCACAAATCTGCCTGCTCAGCCTCAGAGGCCAAGTCCCAGCCCTCAGGGAGAGAAAAGCAGGACAAACCAGGGGTCTGAATAAAGCACACCTCCTCCAGTCTCCCCAGATAAACTGCTCCTCATCCCAGGTGAGGGGGTGAGGAAGACAGCCCCTGGGAGGGCCAAGGGTCCAGGCTGCCAGGCCATCTCATCTGCAGGGAGAGGAGGAGAGGCACAGTACCTCAGCCTGGGGCCGGGCCAGAGCCCACTCTACTTACAGACTGGCCTCTGGGTTTCTTTCGTAGAGGCTTTTTTTTTTGAGATGGAGTTTTGCTCTTGTTGCCCAGGCTGGAATACAGTGGCACAATCGCGGCCCACAGCAACCTTCGCCTCCTGGGTTCAAGCAATTCTCCTGCCTCAGCCTCCTGAGTAGCTGGGATTACAGGGATTCGCCACCACACCTGGCTAATTTTGTGTTTTTAGTAAAGATGGGGTTTCACCATGTTGGTCATGCTGGTTTCGAACTGACCTCAGGTGATCCACCAGCCTTGGCCTTCCAAAGTGGTGGGATTATAGGCGTGAGCCACCACACGCAGCCAATCTATGAAAAATGTATACTAAGGGGGAGGGGAGATGTTTTATTATTTATTTTTTAAATTTTATTTTTTATTATTTTTTAATTCTTTACTATTTTTTCAATTTCAATTATTTATTTTATTTTTTAAATTGTAAAATTAAATTTAAAAAAAATTTTTTTCTTAAAAGACGGGGTTTCACCATGTTTGGTGAGGCTGGTCTTGAACTCCTAACCTCAGGTGATCCGCCCACCTTGGCCTCCAAAGTGCTTGGATGGGCGTGAGCCACCACACCCAGTCTTATTTTTTATTTTATTTATTTTGAGAGGTAATTTTGCTCTTGTTGCCCAGGCTGGAGTGCAGTGGTGTGATCTCGGCTCACTGCAACCTCTGCCTCCCAAGTTCAAGCAATTCTCCTGTCTCGGCCTCCCAAGTAGCTGTGACTACAGGCATGTGCCACCACAGCCAGCTAATTTTTGTATTTCTGGCAGAAACGGGGTTTCATCATATTGATCAGGCTGGTCTCAAACTCCCGATCTCAGGTGATCTGCCTACCTCGGCCTTCCAAAGTACTGGGATTACAGGCGTAAGCCAATGTGGCAGGCCTATTTTATTTTATTTTGAGACAGTGTCACTCTGTCACACAGTCTGGAGTGCAGTGGCGCCATCTCAGCTCACTGCAACCTCTGCCTGCCAGGCTCAAGTGATTCTCCTTTCTCAGTCTACTGAGTAGCTGGGATTACAGGTGCCCAACACCATGCCCGGCTAATTTTTGTATTTTTAGTAGAGACACACTTTCACCATGTTGGCCAGGTTTGTCTCAAACTCCTGGCCTCAGATGATCTGCCCGCCTCGGCCTCCCAAAGTACTGGGATTATAGGCGTGAGCCACCTCGGCCTGGCAGGGGATGTTTTTTAAATGTACGTTAAAACTGTGAGAAAGAACATTCCACTTATCAGATCAGCAAAACAAACAAAACTAAATAACTCAAGTGGGTGAAGGAGTCCTTTGGTTTTTGTTTGTTTGCTTGAGATAGGGTCTCCCTCTGTCCCCAGGCTAGAGTGCAGCAGCGCCATCATGGCTCACTACAGCCTGACTTCCTATGCTCCCTCGATCCTCCTACCTCAGCCTCCCAGGTTGAGGTACATCATGCCCAGCTCATTTTTGTGTTTTTTGTACAGATGGGGTTTCACCATGTTGCCCAGGCTGGAGGTGAATGTGCCTGAAACAGGCAGTACCAAACATTGTTGGTGGGAAAGTTAATTGGTACAACCCCTTTGGGGGGCAAACTGGTAATCTCTATCAAAAAATGAAATACACACATTCTTTGTTCCAGTAATCCCACTTCAGGAATGTACACTAACGTACACAAAACCCCAGACATGTATCATAAGCACCAGCACATTCACTGCAGCATTGCTTTCACAGCTAAAGTTTGGAACTGCATGGTGGCTGGTTAAATAAATTATGTGCCGGACACTGTGGCTCATGCCTGTAATCCCAGCACTTTGGGAGGCCAAGGCTGGCAGCTCATGAGGTCAGGAGTTCCAGACCAGCCTGGCCAACAAGGTGAAACCCCATCTTTACTAAGAATACAAAAAAATCAGCTTAGCTTGGTGGCGTGCGCCTGTAGTCCCAGCTACTCAGGAGGCTGAGGTAGGAGAATCGCTTGAACCTGGGAGGCGGAGGCTGCAGTGAGCCAAGATGGCATCACTGCACTCCAGCCTGGCGACAGAGCGAGACTTTCAAAAAAAAAAAAAGGAGGCCTGGCTCAGGAAAGGAGCTGGTAGGCAGGATCCTGGCTCCAGCCTGTTACAAGAGTTGCCTTCTTTGAATGGGCACAGAAAGGTGGGTAGGAGAGTCCAGGCAGACAGGTAAACTAGGCAGAGCCTGACAGAGTAAGGAGGAAGCCAGAGACAGGCCAGGCTTCAGCTCCACCCCTGGGCCAGCTTAGGGCGTCAGTGGGCGGAGGCAGGAGAAGCTGCCAAGGCCTGGGGAGTTGACACGGCAGAAGCTAGCAGGGGCCGGGCAGGCTCCTCCAGTCCAGGCAGATGCAGCTTTGCCTATGGGCACCTGCTCCGGGCCAGAGAAATGACCCTGTCCCTCAGGGGATGGGCGCTGCACCCTCATTTTAACAATGCCATTTTATATTATGCCCTTACATGCCATCAAATATTATCTTTTTTTTTTTAAGACAGAGTCTCACTCTGTTGCCCAGGCTGTAGTGCAGTGGCACAATTTCAGCTCACTGCAACGTCTGCCTCCCAGATTCAAGTGATTTTCCTGCTTCAGCCTCCCCAGTAGCTGGACTCCAGGCACACGCCCAGCTAATTCGTGTATTTTTAATTAGCCATCACGCCCAGCTAATTCTTGTATTTTTAGTAGAGACGGGGTTTCACCATGTTGGCCAGGATGGTCTCGAACTCCTGACCTCGTGATCCACCTGCCTCGGCCTCCCAAAGTGCTGGGATTACGGGCGTGAGCCACCGTCCCTGGTCCAGGTTTCCTTCTTTAACAGAGGATGTCTGTGCAGGTGGCTGAGAAACCCGAGATGCCGCCCACAGCAATCTGAGCCCTCGGATTACACATAAGACCCAGCCTCGGCAGGAAGCCACCTTGTTCCAAAGTACTGGGTCTTTCTCTTAATATTTGAAGCCAAAGGAAAAATACATAGGAAACAGAGGAGTCAAAGCTGGACACACTTCCTGTTCCTCATTCCCCCTACTTTTCTTCCTAGCTTGGAATCAGAGGACTTGAGTTCCTGTCCGAGGTGAGCCCTGACTCCCTGAAGAAGTCACTTCCCTTCTTGGGACCTCACCTGCAAGAAGACAGGCTTGGGTCCAGAAAGCTACATATTAACAGGTGTCCCCAAGTGGTTCCAATGCAGCTGGTTAGCTTGGTGGCATGCGCCTGTAGTCCCAGCAGACTTTAAGCAGCAGCGGCGGCCAGGCGAAGTGGCTCACACCGGCAATCTCAGCATTTTAGGAGGCCTAGGTGGGTGGATCCCCTGAGGTCAGGAATTCAAGACCAGCCTGGCTAACATGGTGAAACCCTGTCTCTACTAAAAATACAAAAATTAGCCTGGCGTGGTGATGGGTGCCTATAATCCCAGCTACGGGGGAGGCTGAGGCAGGAGAGTTGCTTGAACCCGAGAGGTAGAGGTTGCAGTGAGCCGAGATCATGCCATTGCACTCCAGCCTGGGCAACAGAGTGAGACTCTGTCACTAAATAAATAAATGGACAAACCCAGTGGTTTGCAACAACAGGAATGAATCTTAAAATAATTATGCCAGCCTGGGCAATGTAGTCAGACCCCTGTCTCTACAAAACATTTCAAAATCAGCCAGGTGTGGTAGTATGTGCCTGTAGCCTCAGCTACCTGGGAGGCTGAAACAGGAGGCTTGCTTGAACCCAGGAATGTGAGGCTGCGGTGAGCCATGACTTTACCACTATACTCCAGCCTGGGAGGCAGCAAGACTCTGTCCCCCTAAAAAATCATAATAATTAATTAATTAAAAATAAAGAAATGGCTGGGCACAGTGGTTCACACCTATAATCCCAGAACTTTGGGAAATCAAGGCAGGCAGATCACCTGATATCAGGAGTTTGAGACCAGTCTACACAACATAGTGAAACCCCGTCTCCACTAAAAATACTAAAATTAGCCAGGTGTGGTGGCAGGCGCTTGTAGTCCCAGGTACTATGGACGCTAAGGCAGGAGAATTGCTTGAACCCAAGAGGCGGAGGTTGCAATAAGCAGCGACTGCACCACTGCACTCCAGCCTAGGCAACAAACTGAGACTCAGTCTCAAAAATAAACACATAAATAAATGGCCAGGTGCAGTGGTTCACGTCTGTAATCCTCGCACTTTGGGAGCCTGAGGCAGGCAGATCATCTGAGGTGGGGAGTTAGGAGACCAGCCTGACCAACATGGAGAAACCCTGCCTCTACAAAAAATACAAAATTAACCAGGTGTGGTGGCCTGTAGTCCCAGCTACTCGGGAGGCTGAGGCAGGAGAACCGCTTGAACCCAGGAAGTGGAGGTTGTGGTAAACCGAGATTGTGCCATTGCACTCCAGCCTGGGCAACAAGAGCAAAACTCTGTCTCAAAAAAAAAAAAAAATTATGCTGAGTGAAAGAAGACCAAAGAGAGTACACACGTTTTCTTTGATTTATAAAAAAATTCTAGAAGGCCAGGCTCGGTGGCTCACGCCTGTAATCCCTGCACTTTGGGAGGTTAAGGCAGGTGGATTACCTGAGGTCAGGAGTTGGAAATGAGCCTGGCCAACACGGTGAAACCCTATCTCTACTAAAAGTACAAAAATTAGCCAGGCATGATGGTAGCGCCTCTAATCCCAGCTTCTCAGGAGGCTGAGGCAGGAGAATAGCTTGAACCTGGGAGGCAGAGGTTGCAGTGAGCTGAGATCGCACCACTGCACTGCAGCCTGGGCAACAAGAGCAAAACTCCATCTCAAACAAACAAACAAACAAACAAACAAAAATTCTAGAAAGTGGCAGAAAGGGGATCAGAAAGTGGATGAGGTGAAAGGAAAGAGGGAAAGATTGCAGCAAGGCACAAAGAAACATTTAGGTGCAATGGAGAGGTTAATTATCTTAACGGGTGATGTTTTCATGTCAAAACTCATAAAATTGTATGTGAATTATCAGGTCATTTTAAAAAGGTGATTATGAATGAACATGTGTTGAGCATATCCTAAATGCAGCCAGACACTGAAGATGCTCATGGAATCAATCTGGATGCCTTTTTTTTTGAGATGGAGTCTCGCTGTCACCGAGGCTGGAGTGCAGTGGCATGATGCCTCACTACAACCTCTGCCTCTGGGTTCAAGCGATTCTCCTGCCTCAGCCTCCCAAGTAGCTGGGATTACAGGCACCCACCACCATGCCCAGCTAATTATTTTTTTTTTTTAAGACAGAGCCTTGCTCTGCCGGCGGGCTGGAGTGCAGTGGCATGAGCTCAGCTCACTGCAACCTCCGCTCCCCTGGGTTCAGGTGATCCTCCTGCCTCAGCCTCCCGATTAGCTGGGACTACATTTGTGCACCACCACACTCAGCTAATTTTTTTGTATTTTTAAAAGTAGAGACGGGGTTTCACCGTGTTTGCTAGGATGGTCTTGATCTCTTGACTTTATGATCCACTCACCTCAGCCTCCCAAAGTACTGGGATTACAGGTGTGAGCCACCTTGCCCAGCCTATATTTGTATTTTTTGATAGAGACAGGGTTTCACCATGTTGGCCAGCCTGGTCTCAAACTCCTGACCTCAAGTGACCTACCTCAGCCTCTCAAAGTGTTGGGATTACAGGCGTGAGTTACTGCACCTGGCCATGGATTTTTTTTTTGAGACAGAGTTTCGCTCTTGTTACCCAGGCTGGAGTACAATGGCGCGATCTCAGCTCACTGAAACCTCCGCCTCCCTGGGTTCAGGCAATTCTCCTCAGCCTCCTGAGTAGCTGGGACTACAGTCGCGCGCCACCATACCCAACTAATTTTTTGTATTTTTAGTAGAGACAGGGTTTCACCATGTTGACCAGGATGGTCTTGATCTCTTGACCTCGTGATCCACCCGCCTCGGCCTCCCAAAGTGCTGGGATTACAAGGGTGAGCCACCACGACCGGCCTATATTTGTATTTTTTGATAGAGACAGGGTTTCACCATGTTGGCCAGGCTGGTCTCAAACTCCTGACCTCACGTGACCCACCTCGGCCTCTCAAAGTGTTGGGATTACAGGCGTGAGTTACTGCACCTGGCCGTGGATGCTTTTAAGAACAAAGAACAGAAAATCCAACTGAGTAATATAAACAATAATAAAATGTACTATCTCATCTGCCTGGAAGGCCAGAGGCTACAGGTGCACTTTGTCCCCTCCTTGTCCAAGACACTATATTTAGCTACATCATGGAAGCCCCATAATTGTCAGGGAACTTAGCTACAAGTAACAGAATCTACTCTAACTAGTTTAAGCGGCCAAGGAATGTACTTAAAGATATAAATGACTCACACAGTCTCTGAGAGGGATAGAGAATTGGGCTTGGAGGCTACACAGCCAGGAACAATACCCAAATTTTGCTCCTGGACTGTTATCAGCAGAGCCTCTGCTTTTCACCACCACTAGGTACTGCAGTTCACAAGTGCAAGAAGCATCTCTCCTCCCAGAGCCGCTCCCACTGCCCTCAAAAGCTTTGTGTCTCTGCAGAGTTCTCATCCTCATACAGCTCACCTCTAAATGGATACCAGCTGCGTCTGATTGGACGAGCCTGCACTGTATGCCGGAGTGCTAGCTACACAGGAAGCTAGGTACAAGAGTCTATCTTCTACTTGGGGAGGCAGAACTCATAATGTCTTCGCATAGAATGGGTTTTCAAAAGAATCTGGGTGGCTGGGCATGGTGGCTCACGCCTGTAATCCCAGCACTTTGGGAGACTCAGGTGGGCAGATCACGAGGTCAGGAGTTCGAGACATTGTGAAACCCTGCCTCTACTAAAAATACAAAAATTAGCCCAGTGTGGTGGCGGGAGCCTGTAATCCCAACTACTCGGTAGGGTGAGGAAAGAAGAATCTCTTGAACCCGGGAGGCGGAGGTTGCAGTGACCCAAGATCGCACCACTGCACTCCAGCCTGGGCAATAAAGGGAGACTGCCTCAAAAAAAAAAAAAAAAGCCAGATGTGGTGGCTCACACCTGTAATCCCAGCATTTTGGGAGGCCGAGGCGGGCGGATCACGAGGTCAGGAATTCAAGACCAGCCTGGCCAATATGGTGAAACCCAATCTCTACTAAAAATACAAAAATTAGCCAGGTGTGGTGGCACATGCCTGCAGTCCCAACTACTTGGGAGAGTGAGGAAGAAGAATCACTCGAACCCAGGAGGCAGAGATTGCAGTGAGCCAAGATCATGCCACTGCACTCCAACCTGTGCGACAGAGCAAGACTCCATATGAAAAAAAAAGAAAGAAAAAGATGCTGAGTGATGACAATATTTAAAAGGTCCCCTATAAACCCTGTTAGAGATTATCACAGCCTGAGCAACATGGAGAAACTCCATCTCTACAAAAAATGCAAAATGTAGCTGGGTGTTTGGGCAAGTGCCTGTAGTCCCAGCTGCTCGGGGGACTGAGGCCGGAGGATCGCTGGAGGCCGGGGGTGGGGGGGGTGAGTTATATTCCCGCCACACCACTCCAGCCTGCATGACAGACTGAGACCCTGTCTCAAAACAAAAACAGAAACAAAAAAGAAAGAAACTAGGAAAGAAAAACCAGAATGATGTGGCCTTTTCTTTTTTGAGACAGAGTTTTGCTCTCCTTGCCCAGGTTAGAGTTGTCGGCTCACCGCAACCTCCGCCTCCCGGGTTCAAACAATTCTGCCCCAGCCTCCCGAGTAGCTGGGATTACAGGCATTACCACCACATCCGGCTAATTTTATGTTTTTAATAGAGACAGGCTTTCTCCATGTTGGCCAGGCTGGTCTCGAACTCCTGACCCCCGGTGATCCGCCCAACTCAGCCTCCCAAAGTGCTGGGATTACAGGCGTGAGCCACTGCACCCCGCCATAAATCCAGATTTTAGGAAACTATATAGGAACACATGACAAATGTTCTTCAATAAATTGCAAGGAATAACAGATTTTAGAAGGGGGAACCTAGTGATTAAAGGGAACGTAAGAGTCATATTAACCAACCAAAACATATGGATCTTTTTTTAGGTCTTATCTATTTATTTATTTATTTTGAGAAGGAGTTTCACTCTTGTTACCCAGGCTGGAGTGCAATGGCGCGATCTCAGCTCACCGCAACCTCCGCCTCCTGGGTTCAGGCAATTCTCCTGCCTCAGCCTCCCAAGTAGCTGGGATTACAAGCACGCGCCACCATGCCCGGCTAATTTTATGTAGCTTTAGTAGAGATGGGGTTTCACCATTTCGACCAGGATGGTCTTGATCTCTTGACCTCATGATCCACCCACCTCGGCCTCCCAAAGTGGTGGGATTACAGGCGTGAGCCACCGCGCCCAGCCTTAGGTCATATTTAAAACAAATGTAAATAGATTAATGATGATGATGATAAGCGGGAATATTTGAACACTGAATATTTGGTATTAAGGAATTATTTCACACCTATAATCCTAGCACTTTGGGAGGCCAAAGCAGGTAGATTGCTTGAGCCTAGGAGTTCAAGACCAACATGAACAACATGGTGAAACCCCACCTCTACAAAAACTACAAAAATCAGCCAGGTATGGTGGCATACACATATCCGAGCTGCTTGGGAGGCTGAGGTAGGAGGATCACTTGAATCTAGAAGGTGGAGGCTGCAGTGAGCTGTGATCATGCCACTGCACTCCAGCCTCGTTAACAGGGTGAGACCACTGTCTCAAAAAAAAAAAGAAGAAGACAGAGACCAGGCCCAGTGGCTCACACTTGTAATCCCAGCACTTTGAGAGGCCAAGTCGGACTGATCACCTGAGGTCAGGAGTTCGAGCCCAGCCTGACCAACATGATGAAACCCCATCTCTATCAAAAATATAAAAATTAGCCAGGCATGGTGGCAAACGCCTGTAATCCCAGCTACTGGGAGGCCGAGGCAAGACAATCGCTTGAACCTGGAAGGCAGAGGCTGCAGTGAGCCAAGATCATGCTACTGCACTCCAGCCTGGGTGAAAGAGTGAGATTCCCTCTCAAAAAAAAAAAAGAAGAGACAGAATTGCTGGGGCTAGAAGGATGTTACTACTTCTCCCTCAATTCTCACCATGCTGGCAAAGCCGACTCCAGCCAGAGAAAGTGGTTCCCTTCAGAGAGATGCACATGGTGGTGTTGACTAGCAGGGCACCTCACTAAGCCCGGGCCATGCGTTATCCACCGCAGTTCCTTTGGAAGAATTAATGTTATTGCTTTGATTATATGCTTATATCAACATACACATTTCCAAAGCCAGGAGTGGTGACTCATGTCTATAATCCCAGAGCTTTGGGAGGCCAAAGTGGGGGGATAGCTTGAGCTCAGGAGTTCAAGATTAACCTGGGCAACACAGCAAGACCCCATCTCTTAAAAAAAAAAAAAAAGCCAGGCGCAGTGGCTCACACCTGTAATCCCAGCACTTTGGGAGGCGGAGGTGGGCGGATCACGAGATCAGGAGTTTGAGACCAGCCTGGCCAATATGGTGAAACCCCGTCTCTACTAAAAATACAAAATTAGCCAGGCGTGGTGGTCGGCACCTGTAATCCCAGCTACTCAGGAGGCTGAGGCAGGATAATCGCTTGAACCCGGGAGGCAGAGGTTGTGGTGAGCCGAGATCGCACCATTGCACTCCAATCTGGGCAGCAAGAAACTCTGTCTCAATAAAAAAATGAAATAAATAAAATAAAATAAAACAAAGGAATTAGCATGGCATGGTGTTGTGTGCTCACAGTCCAGCTATTTGGGAAGCTAAGATAGGGAGATCCTTTGGGCCCAGGAGTTGGTTACAGTGAGCCATCAGCACACCACTGCATTCCAGCTTGAGTGACAGAGCAAGATCCCATCTCTAGGCTGGGCGTGGTGACTCACGCCTGTAATCCCAGCACTTTGGGAGGCTGAGGTGCACGGATCACCTGAGGTCGGGAGTTTGAGACCTGACTGACCAAAATGGAGAAACCCCATCTCTTCTAAAAATACAAAACAAGCCAGATGTGGTGGCTCACACCTGTAATCCCAGCTACTCAGGAGGCTGAGGCAGAAGAATCACTTGGACCCAGGTAGTGGAGGTTGGGGTGAGCTGAGATCAGGCCACTGCACTCCAGCCTGGGCAACAAGAGCGAAACTGTTTTCTCAGGAAAAAAAAAGACTCCATCTCTACAACAAAAACAAGCTGGGCCCAGTGGCTCAGACCTGTTATACCAGCACTTTGGGAGGCTGAGGCAAGTGGATCATGAGGTCAAGAGATTGAGACCATCCTGGCCAACATGGTGAAACCGTCTCTACTAAAAATACAAAAATTGGCCGGGCATAGTGGCTCACACCTGTAATCCAAGCACTTTGGGGGCCAAGGTGGGCAGATCACCTGAGGTCGGGGAGTTCAAGACCAGCCTAACTAACATGGTGAAACCCTGTCTTAAAAAAAAAAACAACACAAAAATTAGCTGGGTGTGGTGGCACATGCCTACAATCCCAGCTACTCGGGAGGCTGAGGCAGGAGATTCGCTCCAACCCGGGGGGCAGACGTTGCAGTGAGCCGAGATCATGCCACTACACTCCAGCCTGGCGACAGTCTCAAAAAAACAAAAACAAAAACAATATACACTTCCAAAGTAGAGCTAAACAGAATAACCAGGTGTACTTATGCTTTTGGGGGATCAGGGAAGTACATGGAGTGTTTATGGAGACTCTGTCAAAGGTAAATGGTCACGGGCTTGCTCTTGCGCAATTCAGCATGCACTGTTGAGAGTCATGCGCTGTGCAGGGCACAGCATCATTCAAGATAAGCCCTGCTGAAGAACTAAAGTACGGTTTCTATTTCAATCAGGCTCTCTCAGGCAGTGGGTTAAAGGCCTTGATATTCTTTGGGAATGATAGCCGCCTCTTCGGGACAAGATTGCAAGATTTTTATGTCTTTGTGTAGGGCAGGAATCAGGTCCTGAATGTACAAGATTGCCTGCCACTGCCAGCTTTTCTCATTTGCACACATCTGCTGAATGAATGTGTGAAAAATAAGTGAATGAATGAAAAAGCAAATGACTGTCTCAAGGAGCAAATAAATGAATTTTTAAGCATGTCAGGAATAAAACGGGGTCATTATATATGAGCTGCTTTTGATCCTCTGGGAAGAAAGCAATTCTTAAAAAATTGGACCTGGCTGGGCACGGTGTCTCACACCTGTAATCTCAACACTTTGGGAAGCCGAGGTGGGTGGATCACGAGGTCAGGAGTTTGAGACCAGCCTGACCAAAATGGTGAAACCCCCAACTCTACTAAAAATACAAAAATTAGCCAGGCATGGTGGCACGCACTTGTGATTCCAGCTACTTGGTAGGCTGAGACAGGAAAATTGCTTGAACTCAGGAAGCAGAGGTTGCAGTGAGCAGAGATCGTGCGACTGCAGACTGCCTCAAAAAAAAAAAAAAAAAAATTAGCTCAATGTGGTGGCACACGCTTGTAATCCCAGCTTCTTGGGAAGCTGAGGCCAGAGGATCACTTGAGCCAGGGAGGTTGAAGCTGCAGTGAGCTGTGATTGTGCCTTTGTACCCTAACCTGGGTGACAGAGTGAGATCCTGTCTCAAAAAAAAAAAAAGGAACTGTTCCTTAGAAATGTGAAGCTTGGCCAGGTGTAATGGCTCAAGCCTATATTCCCAGCACTTTGGGAAGCTGAGGCAGGTGGATTACCTGAGTTCAGGAGTTCAAGACCAGCCAGGCCAAGAGGGTGAAACTCTGTCTCTACTAAAAATACAAAATTAGCAGGGCATGGTGGCGGATGCCTGTAATCTCAGCTACTTGGGAGCCTGAGGCAAGAGAATTGATTGAACCTGGGAGGCGGAGGTTGCAATAAGCCGAGATTGCGCCACTGCCCTCCAGCCTGGGTCACAGAACGAGACTCTCTCTCAATAAAAAACAAAAACAAAAAAACAAAAGAATGGGCAAAAAGTCTTGGGATTCCCAAAAAGAGCTGACTTGAGGTCTAGGTGGGGTGAGGTATTAAAGAAATTTAATGTATAAGACGGTATTTGTGAGGTCAGGCTCAGTGGTTCATGCTTATGATCCCAAAGACTTGGGAGACTGAGGCTGGAGGACCAGTTGAGGCCAGGAGTTCAAGATCAGCCTACGCAACATAGTGAGACTCCTGGCTGTGCAAAAAAATCTGATATTTGTGGTCGGGTGTGGTGGCACATGCCTATAATCCCAGCACTTTGGGAAGCCGAGGCAGGAAAATTGCTTGAACCAGGGAGGCAGAGGCTGCATTGAGCTGAGATGGAGCCACTGCACTCCAGCCTGGCGACAGCACAAGACTCTGTCTTAAAAAAAAAAAAAAAAAAAAAAAAAGAAATCTAAAAATTAGCCAGGTGTGGGGGCACATGCGTGTAGTCCCAGCTACTCCAGAGGCTGAGGTGGGAGGATCATGCGAGCCCAGGATGTCAAGGCTGCAGTGAGCTGTGATGGTGCCACTGTACCACAGCCTAGGTGACAGAGTGAGACTCTGTCTCTAAAAAAAAGACAATATGTACGTTAAGCCTTGAAAGCAAGAAGGGGATTTCTGAGTAACTATGACATGCCAAGTATTCTGCAGAGCCTTTTTTTTTTTTCAGTCAGAGTCTTGCTCTGTCACCAGGCACCAGGCTGGAGTGCAGTGGCGCAATCTCGGCTCACTGCAACCTCCGCCTCCCGGGTTCAAGCAATTCTCCTGCCTCAGCCTCCTGAGTAGCTGGGAGTACAGACATGCGTCACCACGCTCAGCTAATTTTTTTTGTATTTTAGTAGAGACGGGGTTTCACTATGTTGGCAGGGTGGTCTCAATCTCTTGACCTCGTGATCCGCCCACCTAGGCCTCGGCCTCTGCTGAGCCTTTGTCTGCATTTTCTCATTATATCTTCACAATAATCCTGTGAGGTTGTATTTCCCTTTTATTACATGACAAAACTGAGTGGACAGGCAGGAGGTGAGGCTGTCAACATTTCAGAGCCAGCCTTCAGTCTCAGCACTGCCATTTGGGGAAAGGAGATTAGTAAATCAGCAATTTCAGCACAGGTACTATCTCTCACTAGCCAGTGCTGGGCAATCAAAAAAAAAAAAAAAAAAAAATAGAGCTGGGCAGAGGGGCTCACGCCTGTAATCCCAGCACTTTGGGAGGCTGAGGTGGGTGGATTACAAGGTCAGGAGTTCAAGACCAGCCTGGCCACGATGGTGAAACCCCCGTCTCTACTAAAAATACAAAAAAATTAGCTGGGCGTGGTGGTGGGTGCCTATAATCCCAGCTACTCGGGAGGCTGAGAAAGAGAATTGCTTGAACCCAGGAGGCGGAGGTTACAGTGAGCCGAGATTGGGCCACTGCACTCCAGCCTGGGTGACAGAGTGAGACTCTGTCTCAAATAAACAAATAAATAAATAAAGCCGGGCGCAGTGGCTCATGCCTGTAATCCCAGCACTTTGAGAGGCCAAGGCAGGCAGATTGCCTGAGGTCAGGAGCTTGAGACCAGCCTGGCCAACCAAACCCTGTCTCTACTAAAAAAAAAAATTCAAAAATTAGCTGGGAGTGGCGGTGGGGGCCTATAATCCCAGCTACTTGAGAGGCTGAGACAGGAGAATCGCTTGAACTAGGGAGGTGGAGGTTGTAGTGAGCCGAGATCTTGCCATTGCACTCCAGCCAGGGAAACAAGAGCGAAACTCCATCTCAAAAAAAAAAAAAAAAAAAAAGTAGACACCTGTTGGCCCCGGAAGGGACCCTCCCTGTGTGCCAGGAGGAAGAAGCCTTGGCTGTCATCACAGCAGCCAAAAAGAGCCCCATTACTTCTTCGGCTTCTGCAATCTGGGCTGACACCAAGAGTCTGGGCTTTTCTGCTCACAGCATGTCTGTGGACCTGGAAGAGTGGCATCAAACATCAATGCCCTGAGCCACAGAAGTCAGGGGGTTGCCCTTACCACAGTGTGATTGCTTTTAATCACCCTCCTGCCTTTCAAGGTCAGGAATCCCAAGCCCTTTATGAGCCATTGTCTTCAGTCACTGGCTGACGGAGGCTGACTTCCACGCAGAAGTTGTGTTTTCTGCCTATGTCACCTATGGCACACCAGGAACTGTTGCCACCCTGGTCACTCTAAAGAGCTACATCTGCTTCCTTGGAGTTGTTTCTGATGATGAAAAAGTCATAACAGGACTGGGTGCCTGTAATCATTACTCATGCCTGTAATCCTAGCACTTCGGGAGGCCAAGGAGGGAGGATTACTTGGGCTCAGCAGTTCAAGCCCAACCTGGGCAATGTAGTGAGACCTCATGTCAGAAAAAAAAATTTTTTTGTAATTGAAAAAGTATGGCTGGGAGTGGTGGCTCATCCTTGTAATTCCAGCACTTTGGAAGGCTGAGGCAGATGGATCATGAGGTCAGGAGTTCAAGACCAGCCTGACCAACATGGTGAAACCCCAACTCTAATAAAAATACAAAAATTAGCCAGGCGGCAGGGCATGGTGACTCATGCCTATAATCCCAGCACTTTGGGAAGCCGAGGACGGCAGATCACGAGATGAAGAGTTCCAGACCAGCCTTGCCAACATGGCCAAACTCCGTCTCTACTAGAAATACAACAACAACAAAAAGTTAGTCAGATGTGGTGGTGTGTGCCAGCGGTCCCAGCTACACAGGAGGCTGAGGTAGGAGAATCACTTGAACCTGGGAGACTCCAGCCTGGGTAACAGAGCGATACTCCATCGCAATAAATAAATAAATAAATTGCAGTGAATACAATGAAATGCTATGAAGTCACTAAAATGAATGAGATAGACACATGCAGCCCTGAAAGCCCAGCCACAGGAAGTGTTCAAGAAATACGCCATGTGAGGCCAGGCGCAGGGGCTCACACCTGTAATCCTAGCACTTTGGGAGGCCAAGGTGGGCGGATCACCTGAGGTCAGGAGTTCCAGACCAGCCTGACCCACATGGTGAAAGTCAGTCTCTACTAAAAATACAAAAATTAGCCAAGGGTGGTGGCGGGTGCCTGTAATCCTAGCTACTCAGGAGGCTGAGGCAGGAGAATCGTTTGTATCCAGGAGGCAGAGGTTGATCACACCACTGCACTTCAGCCTGGGCAACACAGCAAGACTCCATCTCTGGGAAAAAAAAATCCATTACTCACCTTGGCTTAGAAAGCATACGTAGGCTTGTCTCTTCTCTCTGTCCCTGCTGTTCCTACCCATTTCTTTCACCTGCACCTCACAAACTTTCCTTATGTTCTTATACCACTCTCAGGGTCTTCTCCCTGCTGGTCCCTGTGCCTGAATCACTCTTCCCCAAACATCACATGGCTTCCTCCTTCTCACCATTTGGTCTCATTTCAAATGTCACCACCTTGGAAAAGCTTTCCCTGACCACCTTAGCTAATCTTTCCTACTCAGTCTTTGCAGGTATCCTATTTTCTTTCTCTCTCTCTTTTTTTTGTCTCGATCTGTCACCCAGGCTGGAGGGCAACCTCCATCTCCTGAGTTCAAGCATTTCTCCTGCCTCCGCCTCCTATAGCTAGGATTACAGGCACGAGCCAGCATGCCCAGCTAATTTTTGTATTTTTAGTAGTGATGGAGTTTTACTATGTTGGCCAGCTGGTCTCAAACTCCTGACCTCTGGGAATCCTTCCATCTAGGTCTCCCAAAGTCCTGGGACTACAGGCATGAGCTGCTGCGCCCAGCCTTGTATATATTTTTATGAGAGGTTTATAGTTTTAGTTCTCACATTTATGTATTTATGTCTTTGATCCATTTTGGTTTTTTTTTTTTGTATAAGGTAGGGGGTCCAACTTTATTGCTTAGTATAAGCATTAAAATTGTATATTTCCACCGGGCACGGTGGCTCAAGCCTGTAATCCCAGCACTCTGGGAGGCTGAGGCAAGTAGATCATGAGGTCAAGAGATTGAGACCATCCTGGTCAACATGGTGAAACCCCGTCTCTACTAAAAATACAAAAATTAGCTGGGCATGGTGGCGCTTGCCTGCAATCTCAGCTACTCAGGAGGCTGAGGTGGGAGAATTGCTTGAACCCATGAGGCAGAGGTTGCGGTGAGCCGAGATCGTGCCATTGCACCCCAGCCTGGGTAACAAGAGCGAAACTCCGTCTCAACAACAACAACAAAAGTTGTATATTTCCTTTTTTTTTGACTGGGTCTCATTCTGTCGCCCAGACTGGAGTGCAGTGATGAGATCTCAGCTCATGGCAACTTCTACCTCCCAGCTTCAAGCAATTTTCCTTCCTCAGCCACCTGAGTAGCTGGGATTACAGGCGCCCACCCAGCTAACTTTTTGTATTTGTAGTAGAGATGGGGTTTCACCTCGAAGGCCTGAGCTTACCCAATCTGCCTGCCTCAGCTTCTCAAAATGCTGGGATTACAGTGATGGGCCATCACATCTGGCTTATTTGCTTTTCATTATTATTTTTTACTTTTTTAACATAAAAAAGTTAGTAAAGTTAACAGTGGCTTATTCTGTATTGTCAAGAACATATAATAAGCCTCTATTAACTTTACTAACTTTATTTTGGATTAAAAAAAAACCATGAGGCACACCATTTAGTACCACCCTCTGACAGGTGCATAAACCGGAATACCAAATTTAATAAGCATAGTCCTACAGTAATCTTGACAAATTCCCCTGTTATTAATTTTATAGGATTCATTAGTTCATTCAAGAGATATTTGTTAGGTGCTACTCTGTAGCAACATTAAGCTCTGAGAACAAAGACATGAAAGAGAGTCCTGGCATCACAAGCTTATATACAGAAAAGAAAACTGATCAATTGCAGGACGAGATGACAAATGCTAGGATAAGAGATGTAATACATGCTGGAGGAAACAGGGAAGATAAGATTAGAGATTGTGAAAGGTATTTTGGAGGAAGTTTGCTTCTTTCAAGAATTGCAAAGACGGATTAGCAGGTATGAACCACATACATCTAGCAGAGAAGACAGTTTAAGCTACCGGAACAGCAGAAGGAAAGACCTTTGGGAGGAAGGAAAGAAGTGTAGTGTGTCAGAAGTATAGAGTGTCAGGATGAGGCCAGAGCATCCCTGGAGACTAGACTGTGAAGGTAAGGCATTAAATAAAAAATGGAGCCAGGCATGGTGGCTCACACCTGTGATCCCAGCACTTTAGGAGGCTGAGGCAGGCGATCACTTGAGATCAGGAGTCTGAGACCATCCTAGCCAACATGGTGAAATCCTATCTCTACTAAAAATACTAAAATTAGCCCAGCACTGTGGAGCACGTCTGTAATCGCAGCTACTCAGGAGGCTGAGGTGGGAGAATCACTTGAATCCAGGAGGCAGAGGGTGCAGTGAGCATAGACCTCACCACTGCATGCCAACCTCAGCAACAGAATGAGACTCTATCCCCCAAAAATAACAAAAACAAAAAACAAAAATGGGGAGCATGGACCTCATCCTAAAACAGTGGGAGGCTCCTGAAGAGTTTTCAATAGGAACAGAACCATAACAGATTTTTTTTTTGTTTTGAGACGGAGTCTTGCTCTGTCACCCAGGCTGGAGGGCTGTGCTGCGATCTCGGCTCACTGCAACCTCCACCTCCTGGGTTCCAGCAATTCTCCTGCCTCAGCCTCCCAAGTAGTTGGGATTACAGGTGCCCACCACCATGCCCAGCTAATTTTTGCACTTTAAGTAGCGACGAGGTTTCACCATCTTGGCCAGGCTGGTCTTGAACTCCTGACCTCAAGTGATCCATGTGCCTCAGCCTCCCAAAACTGCTGGGATTACAGGCATGAGCCACTGTGTCTGGCAGATTTGTATTTTTGAATGTTTTGCTGTGGCTGCAGAGAACAGATGAAGGAGGGAGGGAAGAGGTCCTAAGGGAGGTCGTGGCAGTCACCCAGACCTGGATTAAGAGTGTCCACAAGAACATTGAGGCCTTGGTGATCCATGAGATGTAGAAGAGAGAGGAGGGAGCATCAAGGGTGACTTTCCTCCTTCTGACCAAGGTGACTGGATATCATTGGTTATGGCAGAGTAGGACTGGGGAGAAGACAGAGAGTTTGGTTGTGGGCAGTTTAAGGTGTTAATGGGACTCTTCCCCCCTTGCTAACCTTACCTGAACTTGGCTCTTTTCTGAGGATTCCCCTCAAGGGAAAGCTGTCTCTTCTCTCAAAGCCAGCAGATGTAGCATATTCTCCTCGTTCCCCATTGTTGAGTCTTAACTTTTTCAACCCTTTCTCCTCCTTTTCCTTCCCCTAATTCTAGCTTTTTTGTTTTGTTTTGAGACAGAGTCTTACTCTGTCACCCAAGCTGGAGGGCAATGGTGTGTTCTCGGCTCAGTGCAAACTCTGCCTCCAGGGTTCACACGATTCTCCCACCAAAGCCTCCCAAGTATCTGGGACTCCAGGTGCCTGCCACCATGCCCGGCTAATTTTCGTATTTTTAGTAGAGAAGGGGTTTCCCTATGTTGGCCAGGCTGGTCTGGAACTCCTGACCTCATGATCTGCCCACCTCGGCCTCCCAAAGTGCTGGGATTACAGGTGTGAGCCACTGTGCCTGGCCAAATTTTGTATTTTTAGTAGAGATGAAGTTTCACTACATTGGCCAGGGTGGTCTCAAACTCCCAAACTCAAGTTATCCACCCACCTCGGGTTCCCAATGTACTGGATTACAGGTATGAGCTACCACACCTGGCCAATTTTTTTGTTTCTTTTAGAAACAGGGTCTTCACCAGGCATGGTGGCTCATGCCTGTAATCCCAGCTCATTGGGAGGCCAAGGCGGGCAGATGACCTAAGATCAGGAGTTCGAGACCAGCCTGGCCAACGGTGAAACCGTGACTCTACTAGTAACACAAAAATTGGCCTGGCATGTAGTCCCAGCTACTCAGAAGGAGATGCCTGAACCCAGAGGCAGAGACTGTGGTGAGCCAAGATCCTGCCATTGTACTCCAGACTGGGCGACAGAGTGAGACTCCATCTCAAAAGAAAAACAAGCAGCTTGTCAAACTCTTGGCCTGAAGCCATCTTTTCCTGCTTGGCCTCCCAGAGTGTTGGGATTACACTTGTGAGCCACTGCACCTGGGCCCTAGCTTTTTAAAATTTTTTCCTTTTTTTTTTTTTTCTGTGTTTTGAGACAGAGTCTTGCTCTTTTGCCCAGGCTAAATTGCAGTGGGGAGATCTTGGCTCACTGCAACCTCTGCTTCCTGGGTTCAAGCAATCCTCCTGCCTCAGCCTCCCAAGTGGACCATGCCCAGCTAATTTTTTTTTTTTTTTTTGAGATGAAGTCTCGCTTTGTCACCCAGGCTAGAGTGCAGTGGTGTTATCTTAGCTGACTGCAACCTCTGCCTCCCGGGTTCAAGCAATTCTCTGCCTCAGTCTCTTGAGTAGCTGTGATTATAGGTGCCTGTCACCATGCCCAGCTAATTTTTTGTATTTTTGGTAGAGATGGGGTTTCACCATGTTGGTCAGGCTGGTCTTGAACTCCTGACCTTGTGATTCACCCGCTCTGGCCTTTCAAAGTGCTGGGATTACAGGCATGAGCCACCGCACCCGGCCTAATTTTTGTATTTTTAGTAGAGGCGGGATTTTACCATGTTGCCCAGGCTGCTCTAGAACTCCTGACCTCAGCCTCCCAACCTGCTGGGATTACAGGAGTGAGACAATGTGCCCAGCCTTTTTTGTTGTTTTTTTTTTGACACTGAGTCTGGCTCTGTCACTGAGACTGGAGTGCAGTGGCATGATCTTGGCTCATTGTAGCCTCCGCCTCCCAGGTTCAATTGATTCTCCTGCTTCAGCCTCCTGAGTAGCTGGAATTACAGGTGCCCACCACCATAACTGGCTAAGTTTTATATTTTCAGTAGAGACGGGGTTTCACCATGTTGGCCAGGCTGGTTAAACTGCTGGACTCAAGTGATCTGCTCATTCTTGGCTTCGCAAAGTTTGGAGATCACAGGTGTGAGCTGCCGCGCCCAGTCAGCCCCTAGCTGGTTTGAAGTTAATGCCGTCAGCTGCAGCACTTGCTTTGGTGCTGTGACCCTCAGACCCACTCATCATGGACTGTGCTTCCTGGCTCACAGCCCTTGTCTTCCTTCTACTCCAGCCCTCCTGGGGACCTAATTACTCATGTGGGTGACCCATCAGTACCCATGCCTGTCACCCACTTGACTTCCTCTCCTCCCCTTCCCACCTGCTGGCCTATGTTCCCATGAGACAGTCTCGTCACCCAAAACCACACCACACCCTGATTCTCAGTTTCCAGACACGTACCTGACCACCATTTTTTCTCCTGCTAGCTTACTGGCTTTAGTGTTCACACCATGCAGCTCTTCCACCCCAAGACCCTGTTCTGGGTACCAGAACATCATTTCCCTCCCGTTCCCTCTTCTCTTCTGAGCTTAGAGAATAGTGCATGACTGTACAACCCTTCTCTCCAAACGCTGTCAACAAACTTGGCTGTTTATCTCCCTCCCTCTCCAGTTTACTTGCCTGGCTGATCCTTAAGCCTGAGTGAACCCAGCTATCAGTCATAACTGCACCTGAGCAGCTGAACATTACTGGAAGAAAAAAAGAAAAACCTCAATTAGATCTACATGCTGTATTTTCAGTTCATGACCACAAACCTCAAATAAGCTCTCAGCACTGAGACCTGCACCTCCGCGCCTTACACTCAGCCTGCCGCTCCTCCGCTCTGACCGCCCTCAGCACTGCTCCATCAACATCCTCCATCAAGGTCAACAACCTCTTCCCCGTTTCAAAATTCAGAGCACACTTAGCCTTTGCTTTTCTGTACTTCTCAGCGGCACGTTGCGGTTGATCGTTCCTTCCTTGTGAACGTTCCCTTCTTGGCTTTTGTGAAACCACACTAGTTTTTCTCCTCTTTTGTCTTTTCTTTCTCAGCCTCCATTGCTGGTTCCTTCTTCTCCATTTGACCTCTAAATCTTGGGGTGCTTCAGGGCCTTTTATTTATTTATTTATCTTTTTATTTTAATTTAATTAATTTATTTTTTTTAAAGACAGGGTTTCCCCATATTGGCCTGGCTTGTCTTGAACTCCTGACCTTAGGTGATCCGCCTGCCTTGGCCTCCCAAATTGCTGAGATTACAGGTGTGAGCCACCGCGCCCAGTCAGGGCTTTTTAATTTTAATTTAATTTTATTTTATTTATTGAAGACAGAATCTCACTCTGTTGCCCAGGCTTGAGTGCAGTGGCGCGACCTCAACTCACTGCAACCTCTGCCTCCCGGGTTCAATAAATTCTCCTGCCTCAGCCTCCCAAGTAGCTGAGATTACAGGTATGTGCTACCACACCCAGCTAATTTTTGTATTTTTAGTAGAGATGGCGTTTTACTGTATTAGCCAGGATGGTCTCCATCTCCTGACCTCGTGATCTGCCCGCCTCAGCCTCCCAAAATGCTAAGATTATAGGCATGAGTCACCGAGCCCGGCCGCAATCTTTTCTTTTATTTTTTTCCCCACTTTTTTCCTTTTCTTTTTCTTTTTAGACAGCAGGAGAGGTGATTTATCGAATGGTTGTTACACTCGGCCACAAGCAAACACAGAAATAGTCCAGAATGTCACGTGTCCAGGGTAAAGGACCAACATGGGCAGTTTTGGTTATGAGCAAAGTGGGTCTCAGAGGTGATGGGCGATCAGAGGTTGATGAAGTTCAAGATCCGCTGAGACAAGCTCTGAGAGTAGCATGCAGTCCACAACTTGTCCCAGCATCCCCAGCAGCTGGCATTCCATGTTTCTGCTCCTGTGGCCCCCACAGTGCAACAGACTAGTGGTTTACTTGGACCTGCCTCATTTTTCTTCTTCTGCACTTCAGCCTGTGTGGCATTTGCTTCTTCCTCTACTTGGCTCTCATGGCGTAGCGGTTTCCAAGAAAATGGCGCTCCTTTTTTTCTTTACATTTTCTTAAGAGACGGGAGGGGGTCTCATTTTTTGCCCAGGCTGGTCTCAAACTCCTGGACTCAGGTGATCCTCCCCCTACAGCCTCCCAAAGTGCAGAGATTATAGGTGTGAGCCACCACATCCAGCCCTCTTTTCAATAAAGAGCAAAATAAGCTTTAAAAAATGTAAATCCAGAGGGGTGCAGGGGCTCATGCCTGTAATCCCAGCACTTTAGGAGACTGAGGTGGGCAGATCACGAGCTTAGGAGTTGGAGACCAACCTGATCAACATGGTGAAACCCTGTCTCTACTAAAAATACAAAATTAGCTGGCTGTGGCACCTGTAATCCCAGCTACTCAGGAGGCTGAGACAGGAGAATTGCTTGAACCCAGGAGGTGGAGGTTGCAGTGAGTCGAGATCGCACACTGCACTCCAGCCTGGGCAACAGAGTAAGACTCTGTCTCAAAAAAAAAAAAAAAAAGTAAATCTGGAGGGGCACGGTGGCTCATGCCTGTAATCTCAGCACTTTGGGAAGCTAAGGTGGGTGAATCACCTGAGGTCAGGAGTTTGAGATCAGCCTAGCCAACATGGTAAAACCCCATCTCTACTAAAAATACAAAATTAGCAGGGCGTGGTGGCACATGCCTGTAATCCCAGCTAGTTGGGAGGCTGAGGCAGGAGAATCACTTGAACCCAGGAGGTGGAGGTTGCAGTGAGCAGAGATCGTGCCATTGTACTCCAGCCTGGGAAACAAGAGCAAAACTCCGTCACACACACACAAACACACACACACACACACACACACACAAGTAATCCCGATCACTCTCCTCCCAAGGCTTTTTTTTTTTAAAGATGGGTTTCACCATGTTGGTCAGGCTGGTCTTGAACTCCCAACCTCAGGTGATCCGCCCACCTTGGCCTCCAAAGTGCCTGGATTACAGGCGTGGGCCACCACACCCAGCCCCAAGGCTTTTATTTATTGAAACTAAACAAAATTCTGAACTCTTCACTGTGATCAATAGGGTCCTCTGAGATGACACCTTCCTGCCTCTCCAAATTCCACTTATAGCCTCTTTTTCATTAAGCTCTAATGGAGCTGCTCCACCCATGCTGACCTCTTTTGTAGTCTTTTTATTACTAAAAAAAAATTTTTTTTTTTTTGAGATGGAGTTTCGCTGTTGTTACCCAGACTGGAGTGCAATGGCACGATCTTGGCTCACCGCAACCTCTGCCTCCTGGGTTCAAGCAATTCTCCTGCCTCAGCTTCCCGAGTAGCTGGGACTACAGGCACGCACCATGCCCAGCTAATTTTTTGTATTTTTAGTAGAGATGGGGTTTCACATTGTGAAGGGTCTCGATCTCTTGACCTCGTGATCCACCCACCTCAGCCTCCCAAAGTGCTGGGATTATAGGCGTGAGCCACTGCGCCCGGCCCTTAAAAAATTTTTTAATTTATTTTTTTATTATTTTAAACAATGAGATGGCTGGGACTTGGGAGTTGGGGGGGAGAGGGTGATGTGGGTCTTACGATGCTGCCCAGGCTGGCCTCAAACCCTGGGCTCAAGAAATCCTTCCAACTCGGCCTCCCGAAGTGCTGGAATAACAGGCTTGAGCCACGGCATCCCACCTCACCCTTTCTAGTCTTTGTAGCAGTCGGTAATTCTCCAATGAAAATCTTTCCTTCCACTGGGCTTTGGCAGCAGCCATCTCCTCTGCCTGGCATGCTCTTCCCCAGAATCTTCAAATGCCATATCCAGTTTGTAATCTCATCCCAATTAAAATCTTTTTGAAGGACTTCCCTATCTTATCTAGAACAGACCCTATTCCTCAGTTGTTCACTCACCCTATTCACTTCTATCTTATCACTTCCCATAATCCAATGCAGATTTTTTTTTTTTTTTGGAAACAGGGTCTCCCTATATTGCCCAGGCTGGAGTGCAGGGGTGTGATCATGCCTCATTGCAGTCTCAACTTCCTGGGCTCAAGAAATCTTCCCACCTCAGCCTCCCAAGCAGCTGGGACTACAGGCATGTTCCACCACGCCTAATTTTTTAAATTTTTTGTAGAGATGGGGCCTCACTGTGTTGCTCAGGCTGGTCTCGAACTTCTGGGCTCAAGAGATCTGCCTGCCTCAACCTCCCAAAGTGTTGGGACTACAGTTGTGAGCCACCAGGCCCGAGTAAATGTTGACCTTAATACTTGTTTACTTTTTTTTTTTTTTTTTTGAGACGGAGTCTCACTCTGACCTCAGCTCACTGCAACCACCATCTCCCAGATTAAAGTGATTCTCCTGCTTCAGCTTCCCGAGTAACTGGAATTAGAGGTGTGAGCCACCATGCCCAACTAATTTTTATATTTTTAGTAGAGACGGGTTTCACCATGTTGGCCAGGCTGGTCTCAAACTCCTGACCTAAGGTGATCTGCCGCCTCAGCCTCCCAAAGTGCTGGGATTACAGGCGTGAGCCACCACGGCTGGTCGTTGTTTACTTTTTGACTGTTCTGTCCCACTAGATGTTCATGTCATGAGGGTAGGAACCTGGTCAGTGTAGTTTACACCTAGACCTCAAGTCCTAGGATTGTGTCTAGCTCGTAGGAGTTGCTCAATAAATGTTTGTTAAATAAAGCAACACAGTTAGACAGCTGGATGTTCACCAAGGCTTGAGGATCAGCCACGAAAGTAAAATGGAAAGGGAGGGAGACAAACAGCCAAGTTTGTTGAGGGTGTATGGAGAGAAGGGTTGCAGTTACTATTCTCTAAGCTCAGAAGAGAAGAGAAAACAGGAGGGAAATGATGGATGGTGAAAAGGTGGTACCCAGAACAGGGTCTTTTCGAGGCAGAAGTAGTACTGCATGGTGCGATCACTAAAGCCAGTAATCTGGCAGAAGAAATGGTTAGGGTGGGTGACTGGAAACCAAGTATTGGGGTGTGATGTGATTTTGGGTAGTGAGACTGTCCCACAGGAACATGGAAAGGCCAGCAGGTGGAAAGGGGAGGAGAGGAAGTCAAGTGGGTGACAGGCAAGGCTACCGGATGGGTCATCCACATGGGTAATTAGGTCCCTAAGGTGGAGGGCTGGAGTAGAAGGAAGAGAAGGGCTACCAGGCAGGAGCCAAAGTCTGTGATGAGTGGGTCTGCGGGTCACAGCACCAAGTGCTGCAGCTGATGGCGTTAACCTCAAAAGTGCTAGGGCCCAGGTGCAGTGGCTCACACGTGTAATCCCAGCACTCTGGGAGGCCAAAGCAGGAGGATCCCTTGAGGCCAGGAGTATGAGACCAGGTTAAGCAACGAAGCGAGACCGGCCTTCCCGAACTTGGTACCTAGTCACACGGGTCAGAAGGAGAGTCACCTGTGGTGCGCCCCACTCTTTCCAAGGCCTAAATATTCTTATGGACACTCCTTAATCCAAGCCCAAGTGACTGCCACAATCTTCATAAGGGTCTCCAGACCGCTGGTCTTTTTGCCCTTTTTTTTTTTTTTTGAGACTGGAGTCTTGCTCTTGTTCAGCCTGGAGTACAATGGTGAAATGTTGGCTCTAACTCCCGAGTTCAAGCAATTCTCCTGCCTCAGCCTCCCAAGTAGCTGGGATTACAGGTGCCTGCCACCACACCCAGGTAAATTTTGTATTTTTAGTAGAGACAAGGTTTTGCCATGTTGGTCAAACCAACATGGTTTTGCTGAGGCAGGAGAATCGCTTGAACCTAGGTGGTTGCGGTGAGCCAAGATTGCGCCATTGCACTCCAGCCTGGGCAACAAGAGCAAAACTCTGTCTCAACTATCAATCAATCAATCAATCTTAAGAAACTAGGAATAGGCAGGGCGTGGTAGCTCCTGACTGTAATCCTAGCAGTTTGGGAGGCGGAGGCAGGGGATTACCTGAGCTCAGTTGTTCGAGACCAGCCTGGGCAACACAGTGAAACCTCCTGTCTACTAAAAAACAAAAAAAAGTTAGCCTGGCATGGTGGCAGGTGCCTGTGATCCCAGCTACTCATGAGGCTGACCAGGTGAACCCAGATCGCCCTCCTGCACTCCAGCCTGGGCGACAGAGCAAGACTCTGTCTCCGAAAAGAAAAGAAACTAACTAAGAATAGAAGGAAATTTCCATGATTTGTTAAAAGCTATCTATAAAAAAATTTAAAGCATAAGACTTAAAAGTGAAACAGCCCCTTTGGTCTATTTAGTAGGGGGCAGTGGTTCATACCTGTAATCCTAACACTTTTGGAGTCTGAGTTGGAGGACTGCTTGAACCCAGGAGTTTTGAGACCAGTCTGGGTAACATAGAGAGACCCCTGTCTCTATAAAACAAATAAAAAAATAGCAGGGTATGGTGGTGCGTACCTGTAATCCCAGATACTAAGGAGACTCAGATGGGAGGATCCTTTAAACCCAGGAGTTCCAAGCTGCAGTGAGCTATGATCATGGCGCTCCAGCCTGGGCGACAGAGAGAGATGCTGTCCATAAAATAATAATAATAACAGGGCCGGTAGCGGTGGCTTAATAATAATAGGGCCAGACGCGGTGGCTCACACCTATAATCCCAGCACTTTAGGAGGCTGAGGCGGGCGGATCACTTGAGGCCAGCAGTTTGAGTTCAGCCTGGCCAACATGGTAAAACCCCATCTCTACTGAAAAATACGAAAATTTGCCGGGTGTGGTGGCACGTGCCTGTAATCCCAGCTACTCGGGAGGTTAAGGTAGGAGAATTACTTGAACCTGGGAGGCAAAGGTTGCAATGAGCCGAGATCGCGCCACTGCAGTCCAGCCTGAGCGACAAAGCGAGACTCAGTTTAAAAAAAAAAACAGGAAACTTTTTGTGCACTCTTCATGTAAAGAGAATTGTCAGCATATATTGCCTCTATTTTGGTGTTTGGTTAAAATGCGGCACACCACGACTGACTTCGGCTTTCTAACAATGCCTAATTCGTACAGTATGTGGCAGTGTTAGATGGTTTTTGGGCGCTCGCCAACGACTAGATAGTTACCACTTCTTTCGGCGCCTTCACTCCCGCTCCCGTATCCACGGCTTCTATCCAGAGGCTGTGTCTTGACCCTCTGCGACCTCTTTGTCATGGCGTCCGCGACTTGGGCTGGCCGCCGGCCGTCGACCTTCCCAAAATGGCGGCGACCGGGCCGACTGCGCCCAGGGGGCGGGGTTCCGCCGCCGGGGGCGGGGCGGGAGGCCGCAGGGTCGGGCTAGCTGGCTGGAGGCTTCCCAAATCGGCAGTCTGAGCGCGCCTGCGCCGAGCGGCCCTGCGCCCAGTGAGGCAGTGGCGGGGGAAGGCTCCGGTGGGGCCGACGGGCGGGTTGAAGGAGGGAAGCGGGCGAGCAAAGTCCCAGTGCGCGCCGCGGCAGCCCGGGCATCCTCCCCTTCCGGGCGTGAGTCGCTGTGAGAAGACGTGAAGCGAGCGGACTCGCACCGGCAGCGAGCGCCGCTCCCGCCGCCTCAGCCCGGCCTCCTTCGGCTCGGGTCGCGGGGCCCGGGTTCCTCAGCACACCCCGCTCCAGCCGCCCCCAGATCCTGTCCCCAACCCTTCGGAAGCCCCGGCGCCCGCCCGGGCCCTCGGTGGGGAGGATGACGGAGCTGCAGTCGGCACTGCTACTGCGAAGACAGCTGGCAGGTGAGCAGGCGGGCGGCTGGGCGCCAGGCCCGCGGCGATCGCGGACAGCCGCTGCCCGGTCCCTCCTCTCCTCCTGTCGGGCCGGCGGCCGCACGGCCGAAGGGGCCCGGGCCTGCGAGGGTGGGGACTCGAGGCTCCGGTCCCGGCCGGGCCCAGTCGTTCTCGCCCGGCTCTCGGAGGGCATTGGGGGCGGGGACGCAACCCAGCTCCGGCCCCGGGGGTCGAGAGAAGGCGGCCCCCGCCCCCACTGTTGGGTAGGACGTTGCGGGGGAGGGGCTGAGTGCGGGTCTCCCGGTCTGGGCCGCCAGTCTGGAGGGGCGGGTCCCGGGCTCAGGTGCTGCCGGGGCCGCAGGACGTTCGCTGCCGGGCGGAGCGTCAGGGCCCAGAGCGGCTGTGAGTCGTAGGCTCGGTGTCTGAACCGCGGGGGGCCAGGGCGGGCGGAAAGGACCGGCCTTGGCGGGATAGGTGAGGCGCACAAAACTTCTCCCCGGGCGGCGCTGGGTCCGCGGAGCTGGGGCCGGTAACAAAAGCGCTGGCCTCCACGCGAGCGCGCGGGTGCCCGAGACCCTGGCGGGGTGCGGTACGTCGCCTCGCCTGCCTCCGCCTGGCACGGGCTCCGGCTGCGCCGCTGGCTGGGGGAGGGTAGAAGCGGGCCGCGGGGACAGCCGCTCGCTGGCGGGCTCGGGGCTTTGTGCTCGCCGAGATTCCGGCTCCTGCGCAGGCCCGCAGCCCCCGGAGCTGCGCCCGCCGGCTCAGGCCGGGGGCGGCAGCCGGGTCTGCCTCACTGAGGAGCCTGCGGCCCCCCTCCCCCATTGTCCCGGCCTCTGGCCGTTTGCGGCTTCCAGGTTGACTTTTTAGGCGGTTGGCTCCTACTCTGCTAGGACTGTGTGCGCGGAGCATGCGCACTGGAGACGTACGTGTGCGGAGTGGAAGGGGGAGGCGGGTTGGTGGCTTCACAATGCCGCCCCACGTGCTGCCAGATTTAAAGAGAAATGAACCAGTAGTTACCCCTGCTGTACAATGCCCGGCGTGTGTCATTCTCAGTTCAAGGGATCCTCCCCTTTCCCGCTCTACAATCAGCAGCCCCTAACCCTCAGCAGACGCCAAAGACTGGAATGATGAAATCTGTCTTTGAAATATATTTACTGAGTTTGAGGTGCTCCTTAAATCACCTTTATGGCATCTCAAGGGAAAGGTTGTCAGGGGTTCTTACGGATTGTATAATAGGGTTTATTATTAGACCATGAGCAAGTAGGTTTGGACAAGTATTAAAGTTCTAGATGCTCAGGGGGAGTTACTTGGAGTGAATGGAGATACTACAGGATACCCATCACAAATAATGTATTGGAAAAGGAATTCGGCCAGGCGTGGTGGCTCACGCCTTTAACCCTAACACTTTGGGAGGCTGAGGCAGGTGGATCACCTGGAGGACAAGAGTTTAAGACCAGCCTGGCCCACATGGCGAAACCCCTGTCACTACTAAAAATACAAAATGTTAGTCGGGATTGGTGGAGGGCACCTGTAATTCGAGCTACTTGGGAGGCTGAGGCAGAATTGCTTGAACCTGGGAGTTGTAGATTGTGCCATTGTATGACAGCCTGGGCAACAGGGCCAGACTGTTAACAACAACAACAAAAAAAGGCAATAAGAGAACTCTATTGCATCTTGTTTCTGGAGTGCAGTGGCGTAACTGTGGCTCACTGCATCCTCCGCTTCCTGGGTTCAAGTGATTCTCCTCCCTCAGCCTCCTGAGTAGCTGGGATTACAGGCAGTGTGCCATCACGCCTTGCTCATTTTTTGTATCTTTCAAAGAGACAGGGTTTCACCTTGCTGGCCAGGCTGGTCTTGAACTCCTCACCTCGTGATCTGCCTGCCTTGACCTCCCAAAGTGCTGGTCGCGCCCAGCCACATCTTAACATTTGTAAACACCTTTTCTGTATAGTTTTTTGTCTGGAGGATGGATTTAAGATTTCCCTAATAATTCTTTAATCAGTGAACTATTAAACAGCATTCAAGTACTAGGTATTAAAACAGTACTGAATTCTTACATAATCGAAGATAAACATTTTAAACGTGTGAAAGGAGTTATGCATTGCCAAGAAAGTAAAATAAGACATAACAGTGTCAGCGGTAGCAATGTGTCAAAACAATTTCCCACCCGTTTGTGAACCAGCTATAGATTTTAATGGTAACTTGGTTCCATTTTGGACTCTCTTTTTATTTTTTGACAATATATTTAGCAAATATTAATAAAACATCCCAAAGTGCTTTCTTAATGATTGACTTTCTGATGGGACACACTAAAATATACTTTAAGATAGAGGAGAGAACAATTTAATTGGTAATTTTTCAGGCGTCATTACGAAGTTACTTAGCTGTAGATTTAAGTTTTCCTGCCTTGATCAGAAACAATGCGATTGTTTTTAGTTTTGTTTTTTTTTTTTTTGAGTTGGAGTTTTACTGCTGTTACCCAGACTGGAGTGCAATGGCATGATCTCGGCTCACCGCAACCTCTGCCTTCTGGGTTCAAGCAATTCTCCTGCCTCAGCCTCCCTAGTAGCTGGGATACAGGCACGCACCACCATGCCCAGCTAATTTTTGTGTTTTTAGTAGAGATGGGGTTTCACCATGTTGACCAGGATGGTCTCGATCTCTTGACCTCGTGATCCACCCGCCTCAGCCTTCCAAAGTGCTGGGATTATAGGCGTGAGCCACCACGCCCGGCTAGTTTTTTTTTTTTTTTTTTGAGACAAAAGTTTCAAAAAAACTTTTTGGCACAATCTTGGCTCACTGGAACCTCTGCCTCCCAGGTTCAGGTGATTCTCCTGCCTCAGCCTCCCAATGCTTGTTACCACACCTGGCTACTGTATTTTTTAGTGGAGACAGGGTTTCACCATGGTGGCCAGGCAGGTTTCGAACTCTTGACCTCAGGTGATCCACCTGCCTTGGCCTCCCAAAGTGTTGGGATTACAGGTGTAAGCCACCACGCCCAGCCCACTTTTAATATTTTCTTAAAATTTTGAAGCATGTTAACATACTCAAAATGTACAAAGTAGTAGGCCAAGGCAAATGCGTTTTAATTGATGTGTAAAAATATCAAGTTTATTGGAAAGATTTGATAACTACACACAGTGAAATAAAAGCCTTGATTTGTTTTGTTTTGTTTTTGAGACAGAGTTTGAATTTGTCACCCAGGCTGGAGTGCAGTGGTGAGATCTCAGCTCACAGCAATGTCTGCCATCGGGTTCAAGAAATTCTCCTGCCTCAGCCTCTGAGTAGCTGGGATTACAGGTGCCCCCTGCCATGCCTGGCTAATTTTTGTATTTATAGTAGAGATGAGATTTCACCATGTTGGCCAGGCTGGTGTCGAACTCCTAACTTCAGGTGATCCACCCACCTTGGCCTTCCAAAGTGCTATGATTGCAGGTGTGAGCCACCGCCTTTCACCCAAGCTGAAGCATGGTGGCACGATCTTGGCTCACTGTGACCTCCACCTCCCAGGTTCAAGTGAATCCGCGCACCCCTCTCCCCCCAGTAGCTGAGATTACAGGTATGTGCCGCCATGCCAGGCTAATTTTTGTATAAAATCTCCAAAAACTTAAAACGACAATGGCCAACTACAGCTACATTTATTGCACTCCTAGTCTGTCAGTCCTTAAGGATTTAAATTAATTACTTGGGAGAATATATTGGATATGTTTTGTTGATAACTTAATGAAGAACCTGGTTACCTTCAGAATTGAACGAAATGTTTCCCTGGGTTGTGGAGTTTCTCAGTCTTGGCGCTACTGACATTTTGGGTTGAGTATTGTAGTGCCTATACTGTGCATTATAGAATGTTTAGCAGCATTCCTGGTCTTTACCCACTAGATGCCAGTAGTACACCCTCTCAGTTGTGACACCCACAAGTCTCTATTGCCGAATGTCTCCTGAGGGACAAAATCATCCAGGTTGAAGATCACTGGGTTAAAATGTTTCAGAGAAGACCATTATGGCTAATTGTTAAGCACATAAAGACACCTAACAGATTCATGTAATCAGATAGGTTGTATATTTCTTTGTGGATATTATTAGACTATGACTTACTCCTTTGCAAATTCATCGGTGGCAATTCAAATTTTCAGTGCCTTATGTTAAACACTAAGAAATCCCTCAGCACAAGAGATACTTTTAAAATATTTTATCTTTTGAAGAGGTATTAGCATTGGTTAAAAATGCCAACAGTACAAAACAGCATATGTAGTCTATTCACCATGACCACAAGTTCTTTTCATGGAGCAGCCCATCACTGACGCATGTATGTCTTTCTTTTTGGAGACAGCCTTGCTTTGTCACCCAGACTAGAGTGCAGTGATCTTGGCTCACCGAAACCTCTGCCTCCCGGGTTCAAGCGATTCTCCTGCCTCAGCCTCCTAAGTAGCTAGGATTACAGGCACAGGCCACCACACTTGGCTAATTTTTGTATTTTTGGTAGAGACAGGGTTTCACCATGTTGACCAGGCTGGTCTCGAACTCTGTACCTGAGGTGATCTGCCCACCTTGGCCTCCCAGGCGTGAACCACTGCAACTGGCCAGTTTTATTATATAGTTTGTTAATACACGTAGTATTTTCTGATACTTCCACATATAGTTGTGAAATTAGGTGCGTTGATCATTATTTAATAGAGTGAATCCAGGGTGTAAAATCTGATAATCCAGTGACTATCATTATCTTGTTGGCTTTTGACTTTCTTCTTCTTCTTTTTTTTTTTTTTTTTTTTTTTTTTTTTTTTTTTTTTTTTTTTTTTTGGGACAGGGTTTCACCATGTAGGCCAGGCTCGTCTCAAACTCCTGACCTCCGGCAATCCGCCTGCCTCAGCCTCCCAAAGTGCTGGGATTGCAGGTGTGAGCCACTGTGCCCAGCCTTAACTTCCTTTTCTCAGGTGAGAACGTTTGATTGCACTGTTAGTGTCAGGATGAGTTGAAATCCTTGCCTCTTTTGTCCTTGGGTACTTAAGTGGAATTGTTTTGTTGGTGGGAGGGTATGCTAAGTTATGATAAACTGTAGTAGAGGCATTACCTTGCTTCAAGCAAGTAAAGTATTAACTAAGCACTCTTTTAGTGAGGTCAGTTTGATTTAGGATACATAATTTGACATTTCTTAATTATTGAAAACTTTATTTTAGAATTTAAATTTTGTTAAAATTTAGATGACCTCGACGGGTATATCTAATGTCATCTTTCATTGGTTTATAGGAAATAACTTTATAGAGAAGGAATTGTGGACTTAAGGAAACACTGTGGCAAGGTAAACATAGTGTAGTCTTCTATGGCTAATAGCATTTCAGATACAGAAAAGTCCAAATCAGAAAAAGCAAACATTTTCCAAATTTTGGTAATGAACATGAATTATTGGTATAAACAGATAAATGATAAAGAATAAAATGTAGCCAGGCGAGGTCGCTCACAGCTGTAATCCCAGCACTTTAGGAGGCTGGGGTAGGCGGATCATCTGAGGTCAGGAGTTTGAGACCAGCCTGGCCAATATGGTGAAACACCCATCTCTACTAAAAATTACAAAATTAGCCGGGCATGGTGGTGCATGCCGGTAATCTCAGCTACTCAGGAGGCTGAGGCAGGAGAATTGCTTGAACCTGGGAGGTGGAGGTTGCAGTGAGCCGAGCGCTAGCCTATTGCACTCTAGCCTGGCGACAGCAAAATTCTGTCTCAAAAAAAAAAAAAAAAAGTAGTTCCAGGAAATAAGATAGTTAAATGTTAAAATGTAACATTCTAAACTTTTCCCCTTAGTGCAAGATAGTATTGGGCTACTTTGAATAAGTCAGAAGTTTTTTATCAGTGCTGTTCCATTGATAGATTCTGGCCCTCAGAGAAACTTCTGGAAAAATACTGTACTGTATTGTGGTTGCTGTAGAGATGTATACCTCTTTTTATGAAGTTGTGTTCTAAAAGATTTGCAGCAAGTTAATTTTTGTAAGTGGAAATATTTTATTTTACCTTTTATTTAAACGTTATACCCATGTCCAGTGACTTAGAAAAAAAATGCTGCTGCTCTTTTTTTGCTTTTTTTTCTTTAGATTTTCTTTATTTTTTTTTTTGTGACTGGGTTTCACTATGTTGGTCAGGCTGGTCACGAACTTCTGACCTCAGGTGATCCTCCTGCCCTCGGCCTTCTAAAGTGCTAGGATTACAGGCCTGAGCCACCTCGCCAGGCCTCTTTAGCTTTTCTTATCTGCTCTTATTGGCTAGGGATATGTTAAAAGGATCAAGAACAAAGAACTTACATTTTTACCGGCAGCTTTTGTTGTTTGCTTTAATCTTGTAAAACAAGATTGCTTTTAAGTAAGTTTATCAAATAGGAATTTAAAAAAAATGTTCTTTATGTGAGGAGACACTGTTTTCATTTGCTTTTGAATGTACATGCATTTTAATTACATTATATTCTTATGTAAGGTTTATACTTTCTAGGGTTTCTATGTTAAGACAAAGTAATGCTAGGCAAAGAGTTCTTTTTCAGCTTGATACCAAAAGCGTGAGCCACAAAAGGAAATATTAGTAAACTGGACATCATGAAAATTAAGAATTTTTACCAGAAAAAAACTGTTAAGAGGATGTAAAGACAAGCCATAGACTGGAAGAACATATTTGCAAATCATGTATCTGGCAATCGATTGATCAAGAATGTATAAAGAGCCCTCAATAGTTAAAAGTCAATTCAAAATATGGGCAAAATTCAAAAAATGGGCTCAGCTCACTGCAGCCTCTGCCTCCTGCATTCAAGCAGTTCTCCTGCCTCAGCCACCAGGTGTGGTGGCTGTCATCTCTAGTTTGTACTTCTAGGGACTAGGAGAATCATTTGAGACAAGGAGTTTGAGGATGCAGTGAGCTGTGATCACACCCAGCCTGGGCAACAGAGCAAGACTCTGTCTCAAAATAAAAGGGCAAAAGACACCAACAGACATTTCACTGAAGAGGACATACAGATAGCAAATAAATGAAAAGATGCTCAACATTACTAGACATTAAGGAAATGCAAATTGAAACCACAGTAAGATATCACCACTTACTATTAGAATAGTTAAAAAAAAGCAACACTGAACGCTGCCAGGGACTTGGAAAAAGTTGAACTTTTATACATTGCTGGTGGGAATGTAAAATTGTATATCCGCTATAGATAGAAAACAACTTGCTTTTTTTTTTCTAAGAGACAGGGTCTCTCTCTCTCTCTCTCTCACTCTCTCTCTCTCTCTCTTTTTCTTTCTCTGTCTCTCTCTCTCTGTGTATATATCTTTTAAAATACTTTCATAAAAATAGAGACAGGGGTCTTGCTATGTTGCCCAGGCTGGTTTTGGACTCCTGGGCTCAAGCAATTCTTCTGCCTTGGCCTCCCAGAATAGTGGGGTCACAGATGTGAGCTACGGCATCCAGCCTTTTTTTTTTTTTGAAACGGAGTTCTGCTCTTGATGCCCAGGCTAGAGTGCAATGGTGTGACCTCGGCTCACTGAAACCTCTGCTTCCCGGGTTCAAGCCTCAGCCTCCTGGGTAGTTGGGAATACAGGCGCCCGCCACCATGCCTGGCTAATTTTTGTATTTTTAGTAGAGTGTTGGACCCCTGGAGTGTAGTGGTGGGATCTCAGCTCACTGCAGCCTCTGCCTCCTGCATTCAAGCAGTTCTCCTGCCTCAGCTTCCTGAGTAACTGGAATTAGAGATAGGAGCCACCATGCCCGACTACATCTTATATTTTTAGTAGGGATGGGGTTTCACCATGTTGGCCAGGCTGGTCTCGAACTCCTAACCTCAGGTGATCCACTCACCTTGGCCTCCCAAAGTGCTGGGATTACAGGCGTGAGTCACCACACCCAGTCATAACAGAGTTTTAATGCAGTATGAGTGCATATGTATATGTTCAAAGAACAGAAAGTAGCATTGAAGGAGGAGTGTTTAATTATGGGGGGAGTACAGGGAGATTAGGTAAGGCTTCCCAGGAAAAAGACTGTATTTGTATATAGCAGAGTCAGTATTTCAGTTCTCTTAATTACATTAGGTTATATACTTTTTTAAAAACCTAGGCCGGGCGCGGTGGCTCACACCTATAATCCCAGCACTTTGGGAGGCTGAGGCGGGTGGATCACGAGGTCAAGAGATTGAGACCATCCTGGTCAACGAAGTGAAACCCTGTCTCTACTAAAAATACAAAAATTAGCTGGGCATGGTGGTGCACGCCTGTAGTCCCAGCTACTCGAGAGGCTGAGGCAGGAGGATTGCTTGAACCCAGGAGGCGGAGGTTGCGGTGAGCTGAGATCGTGCCATTGCACTCCAGTCTGGGTAACAACAGCAAAACTCCGTCTCAAAAAACAACAACAACAACAAAAAAAACCTATGAATTTATTAGCACAGGGAAAACAATAATTAGAATTACGTGGCATGACAAAACAGAAATCTTATGTTGGCAGGTTTAAAACACATGGATGTTTCTGAGAGACAGCTAATCTGTTTCAGATTAAGTAGTAAATGAATTTTTCTTCTTTTTTTTTAATGCAACAAGTTTATTA